GGGATTTTTAGCAAATAATTTCTTCTTTTTTAACTCGATCCAGTAGTTAAAACCACCCCTTTGCCCTTCTTCTCTCCTGTAGGAAAATATAATTAATAAAAAATGGACAAGACAAAAAAAATATTAAAACAACAATGACCAAAAAATAAAGTTTTCAACTCAACTACAAAGCTTTGTTTGTTTAATTTATTGTATCATTAATTGTGCTTGCAGTTACAGTTTAGCTCTGCACAGCATGAAGTTACAGTTAACTATAATGAGACACATAAATGTATTTTTCATTAGACAAAAACAAGAGCACATTTAATTTTAAGCTCGCTGAGCATTTGCTATTATGTCAGGCTGACAAAACGAAGTAATTACCTCCTAGGGGACTTTTTCTTTATTCTCTTTGCATTCTCATTAGCTTGGATTCGTTCCACTCGGTCATACAGCTCTGCATGTTAATTTAAAATGGTCACTAGGGGGACCCCTCATAATACACCAGCCTCCGTACCAGTATCATGAGGCACACAGTCCTTGTGGCGGATTGACTCTTCTTTGGGTTACTGGGACACTCTGCCTCTCCTTCAGGCAAGTTATGACACCACACTTCGGGGTTATGTGACAGCACTCTAGATCGATGTACTACGGAGTGCACCAGCTAGCTCTATGTCAATGTGTCAGAGTGTGTGGCCTAGATTCCCCTCAGTGCGAGATGTTTGGATGCTGTCAGTGCAGCGGTTGTGGCGGCCTTCTCAGTGTGACAGGGCGTAAAGTTGCTCGCCGCTGCGCTCCAGTCGATCCCTGTACTCCAGGTTGGAGTAGTTGCCTTCAGGGACCCCCTGTGTGCCGTAGAGGAGACCCCAGCAGCAGCAGGCAATCACTGCTGTGCTGTCACTGTCGCCTGGGTGGGAAGGAAAGGAGATGGAGGAGAAAAGAGAGAACAGCATGAGCGAGCCCTGAAATGAAGCAGAACCCCATAGTGTTTCTGTTTTTATTCGAAATAGATCATTTTATTTGAAATAGGTCCAGTGTGTAACATTTAGGAGGATCTATTGGCAGAAATGGAATATGATATTCAGGGTTATATTTTCATTAGTGTGTAATCACCTGAAAATAAGTCATTTATGGGTCATTTGAAGCAGCTATAATCAATTTTTTTTATTAACACAATAGATCAAATAATTAATGTCTCACTCATAATGAACCAACAGAAATCACCCAACTCTGCATTTCCACTCAGCTATGGAGTTTTTAGTGTCTTTCAGTGTATTGTTTTGGTTTTCTAGCTGCTCTCACCGCTCTCCTGTTACCCACTGTCCACAGGATTTAGCAGCTAAAGAGGCAGATATTTTCCTCAGGAGTTGAAGACCAAAAATAAAGTTAAGACAGAGTGAATATTGTACCTGTCATATCTGTCAATAGTTTAAAATTAATTCGGTGGATTTCAACTAGACAGAAAATGTCTTTTATCATCTACACGTACAGGACTTCAGGTTTTTTGAAAATGAATGAGCAGATCACCACACTGCTACTGTAGGTGATACAAGAAACTTTAAAGAAGATATTCTACAACAACATTTAACATATTTGTTTATCAAACATTACTGGGAACTTTTCTTTAGCCTTATTTTAAATCTCATTATGTTATTACATTACTTGAATTTCCCTCGGGATAAATAAAGTATCTATCCATCTGCAGCCATAGATGATACTCATTACATATTGGCACAAGTTCCAGTCTTTGTTCATATAATGGTATAGAGCTGTCAATTGTTAGGAAATTAATCTACTGAAAAAGGGCGGCGGTATTAATCACAATAACTTAAGCCATGGACAGCTATGACACTCGGGGCCAAATATGAACATCTGTTAGGATGACTTCAATTCCCACAGTTCATAAGCAGATTTTTAAAATGTCAGCCTTTGTTGTAAAAGACGGCTTGTTCACTAACCGCTGTGTGAAAGAAGATTCCTTTACACTTCATTTGTGCTGCCTCTACAAAGACTGCTTCTGTCCTCGAGACAATGACAGATGAGGACCAATTAGAGTTTAGACCATTAGTCCATATGGCTTGTCTGGGCAAAAAGTGCCCGGACTAGATAGATAGACGTTGGCAAAACCCGTCTGTTTAAAACAAGAGGACAGGAATGTTTACAAAAGAGCAAAACATGTGAAATGATTAAGTCTACTCGTGTTATGAGTAAAAGTGCTGTGATTATCAAGCGAAACCAGACGGCTGGGTTAACGCAAAATACCAGACTTGATACTAAAACAGGTTATATTTAGGAATAAGGCTTGAGATAAAGAAGTAGTTTAGGTATAAAGTTTTAAATACTTAAAAATTAGAAGTTTGGTGGAATCAAGGGTCAGACAAGGCTTCCCAATCAGCCTATAAGATCCATAAAAACACGTTGAAGTTCACGTTGTCTGACCTCCATGAAAGGCTGCTCTGGCCATCAGCTCCTCCCAGTCTGAACCCGCCCCCAGCAGGGCGTCCAGTGCGATCATCGGAGCGTCGTGGCCGCTGCGTCCTGCCCAGCCCGACAGGCTGAAGCTCTTGTATGCTTCATCTCTCTCAGCTGGGCCGTAGGTGGAGGGCCAAATCGCGGGGCCCACCCCGTTAGAGATGCCCCTCGTATCCAGGTACCTGTAGACAGAGGTAAGAGATTCTCCTGACATCCACATTATCCTCCATTATGTAGTCATTCCACGGTTCACAGACATCCTGACATTTATCCTTTAGAGTAGAAAAGCAAGGAGCAATGAAAATAAATAAAAAGAGCTGTTGAACTGAATGTGACTTGTGACTTTTTACCACAAATCTCCTGCCAGCATCGATTAACCTTGAGACTCAAGTAGGTTAATAGAAGGTTACCCATGTCAGAAACCTCAATATGAATACCAAAGCCTGACTTCCGTCGCTCGTACCACTGCCACTTGTCACAGAAGTAGCCCCAGTCTCTCTCCGTCTCCTCGACGGCGAAGCCTCGACCCTGAACAAAGCTCTTCGCTATTGGGCAGGCCTCGTTGATCAGGCCCAGACCCCACGTCGTGATAGGCCTGTGCTGGACGGCGTACGCGGTAAACAGGGCCGACGCTACTGCGCCCAGGAAACCGGTGGGGTGAGGATGGGTCATCCTGCCCGTCTCCACGGCAACTGCTACCAACGACAACAGCTGGTCAGGCTTTGGATATCTGGCGAGGGCAAAGAATTAAAGTCCTTAACAGTATATTGTGGAGGATATGTAGCTGGAGTTTGGTGCATAAACCTCATGCGGTCCGACACAGAGCTGAGAAATCTGTTTAAGCATTCTGTATTAGTACTCGATCTGGATACAAGCTATGTTTACAGTAATTACTTCTTTTAATGCTTTAATTGACTCCACATAATGTTTTTACTGATTCTGGATAATGTTTTAACTCTGGGACTCTATTATTTATGTGTTGTTTTCTGCTTAGTGATCAAAGAACGTATTCCACTGCTGCATTTATTCCAAATTACTTTGGATAAGAGCAGCAGCTGCGTCCCTCAACCGTAAATTTAAATGTGAAACATTCAATGTCACGTTTTCTACGAGTCATTGCGTGCCCAAACCAGCTTGCATTGTGAATTTTTTGTAATCATTGTTTCCCCCATTTCATTGTGCCTCATCATCCTAAGAGAAGATGAAGCCTTCTTGTTTTTCTGCAATTAAAAAAAACTGATTAATTCCGTCCAATCGATCCCTGTGGAATTCCTCTCTACAACCAAATGTGATGAGTTTAGAGCTCAGACAATTAGTGGATCCATTGCTCAGTTGATCAACAGAGTATTTTGGTAATTGATTAGTCATTTAAATTAAGCCTCTCCTACCTAAAGATTAGTGCTTTTATACCATTGTAGACAGAATATATTTGGATTCTGGACTACTGTAAACACTAGACATTTGAAGATGTCACCTTGGGATCTGGGAAATAACATTTTTCCTTACATTTTAGGGACTAAACGATTAGTCAAGAAAATAAGATTAAGATAAGATTAATCAATAATCAACATAATCATTATTAGTTCCCTTACTTCTTTCTGTGACAAGATTGACACTTTTTTGTGGGTCCCAGAAAACAAGAGTGAGGACATTTATTCACACTTTAAGTTCCTGTCTATGAACCTTAGTTATTTTGGACTCTGACATTAACTTTGAAAGTTAGTAACATAAGAAGGGCAACCATTTTTGGAGCAGTGATAGAGGAGCCACAGTAACACATAAAACATAGTCCTGGATATCGGGACAGATGAAAATCTTTGGTCAGATGATAGTTCTCTTACAGTGTGATATGGGTCAGGAGTTCTGTGATGTAGGTGGGCGTGAGACAGTTTAATAATACTTTTATTCTGTAGCTAACAGGAAGCTAATGTAGAGAGGGTTGGAGTGATGTCCTTTCTTAACTGGAGACGGGTACACAAGACAAAATAATATCAAAGTATAAAGAGTTGCAATAATCGAGATGGAAGCATATAAAGGCATGGATGACTTTCTCCAGGTAGGAAATACAAAGATCTTACCTGATTTGTAGCTACTTTACATACAATATGAGTCTGAGGGTGAGTCTGAGGTTCATGCATGCATTTTAATGCAGCGCACATTGAGTTTACTTTATGTGCCTTCATAAATAAAATGACCTTGCAGATTACCGCAAACATCAGGGAAGTGACAAACAAAACTAAAACTTAAAACAAAATCAACTTTTAACACATTTCCTTTCCTCTACTTAGCCCTCAGTTAGTCATTAAGATGCCCAGTCCCTGCTCAAGATGCAAGGTCACTGACAATTAAAACCAAGCCCACGGAGGGCTCAGACGAGAGACAGAACGGCTGGTAAGTGGAATGCTTAAGAATGAGTTATTATGTATTTATTCTTAGGAATGTGTCTTACCTGAGCCCAATGCACATGGACCTCATGGCCGCTCCACAGCCGGTCCCCTCTGGGTTATAGGCCACTCTGTAGCCCCCTTCCTCGCCAGGCTTCAGCTGAGAGACTCCTGAAAGAGCAAATGAGAGTCAAATCTCACAAATAAATGTGGTACGATTAAAAGAAGTTGAAGACGTCGTCTCACCCAGAATACTTGAAGGCCCCGGTTTCCTCCCGTACATGTCTTTCATACCCTCCACATATCGAGCAGCCACCTCGTGCATGAGCTCCTCCCCCGTCTTCCCTACAAGAAAGACAGCTTGTTCAAAGCGGCAGACGCTGTCCGTATTAACGTTTTTAAAAGATGTAACTGATCTGTTTAATGAGGCTGCTTGTTTGCCTTATCACACTAAAGGTCAAGTGGAATTTCTACCATTTTCCTTCCACTTGTGCAGAGCCGTAATAGAGCAGCAAATCAAGACAAGACTGGAAATTAGATTTAACCTTTATCTGGGGCTCATGAGGAGGGAGGGTGTGGTGCGTGTCCTGATGAGGCCTCATCAGAACGGCATCGACTACCAGATCAATCCAATCAATTACCTGTTTGACACGAAATGAGCAAAGGACAGACGGGTTCAATGTCATTCTGAGCTCACCAGTTGCCAGCCCTTCAGCCGTCGCCAGATGCAGAACCGTGTCGTCGCTCACCGGCCAGTCGGGGAGCTCAGCCTTGATGTTCTTCAGACCACCAAGCTCCTTCAGCTCCTGCAGGAACGGGAGGTGGTTTAGCTTTATCACGATCTAGATAATGTACAGAGGGCGTCATTCTCTATAGTCTCTCAGTTCAAATTACTGGGGCCCCTGAAAACCTGTGTAGGACCGCTGGAGGTCCCCAGACTAACTTTGCTGTTGTGTGACTCTTCCCATGTTGGTCCTGCACTGACCTGGTGAATAGCTGGTCCAGACTCATTGTACTCCCACAGCTGGTTCCTGTATCCCAGAGCATCGCCAACTCCACTCAGCAACATGGCTGCCTTATAGTGCTCCAGCGTTGCAGATCTGCCGGGACAAAACCACTCTGTTAAAAAATGTAAAACATTTTGAAGTGTCCGAGCCAGGAGGAAACTAAGTCACTGTTCACTGTCCATACAAAGGAAAATGTAGTGAGCCGAAGCTGTTATATGAAGTTTGATTATTTTATTTATTTATTTTGCATTTTTGATTTCTTTACAAGCTGTGTTGAAACACCAGTAACACGGCTAATGTTATATCTCATTATTGGTCTTGTTAAAATGGAATAATTGGTGCACAGAAGCAAAATATGAATATTATTGAAAAGGTCTCACAGTGGGAAAACATCAATATGCTTAAAGAAAGGCTTGAAAATAATAGCCAATAGCCTACATTTTTATCATATTTATGGTAAAATAAGCTTTAAAAAGTAGGTTATAGTGATTTTGGTCTTTTGCTATTCAGTAACTTTAAGTCTTCATTATTGCAGTTGTGACCCTAATGTGCAGTCCATAGGCAACATGGAAAGAAAATGTAATAAAGTACAGTATTAGTAACAGCTAGCATTCTTATAAACTAATGTTTATTTGTCCATTTATTAGCGGATTTCAGTCATCTCAACATGTTCAAACAACCAATCAAACATATTAACAAGTCAACTCCAACATCAGGTTACTCTCTGGTTAGATTTGAGTGTAATTTAGATCAAATGCAGCCCTTGCAGCAGGAGATCAACCTCCATGCAGCTGCAGCCTCACCGGTTCATTGCAGCGCGTCCTCCCCCGAAATCAAGCTTCACCAGGCGGCCACACACACACGTTGACACCGGGGCTGCGGTGCACCAACTTCTTGCTCTCTTTTATTTGTTTTGTCGCAAGTATTAGCTCGGTCCCAGCTCAGAAAGGCCTGCAGCGAAACAACGGCGTTGATTCACTAAACTTAATGCACGCTACTTTAAAAACCAAAGGCAGCCGGTTGGGACTCGCAGCAACCGTGAGGGCTAAAAAAAGACCACAGGCAAACCAATTTTAGACTTCTGCTTTCCGGCTGGCAAGATGGAGACATAGCGAGACTAATGGCAAATGTTTTCTGTAACACCAGGTTAATAATCGTTGAGTCGTTCCCAGGGGGCTAACCATTTACACAGCTGCACTACACTGATTTATATATGCATTAATATGTGTGTTATTAACTTTGCCATTATTTGTTGCTAAAACAGTAAATGCTTTAAGAATACTTTAAACTATATAAAGTTCTCTATATGCACAGATAATTGATAAAAACCAAAAGGGAAGGTCATTTCTAATTACATTTCAAGGATACATTTCCTTTTCTCTGTTCGATGATATATTTCTATCAGTGTATCGACTAAACAATTACTGTAATGTAACATCTCCTGTTAGCATTAGTTCCATAATTTATTAAGTTAATATGAAATCAGGCTTAAAATACAAGAAGCCTTAGTCATTGGAAACAAGAGACACACTTAAACAAGAGACTATAGCAGGAGTGCCCACCTGGAGGGCCAAAACTGAAATGTAATGGTGGGCAACGGGCCAAGAGCAAACACAGCAGTGTCACTCTGCTTACCATGTGCAGATTAGAATAGAATAGAATAAACTTTATTGTCCCCGAGGGGAAATTTGTCTTGGGCACAGTGCTACAGTTTGTTGCTTCACAGAAACAAGCGATACCTCAACAAACAGTACACACATCAAAAAACATGACAAAATCACATAAAAACATTTCTAAAACATGGAAGAACAACTACATTTTAACACTGAAAATGAATTATTAATTAGTGATCCTACATCTTTAAAGACCACTATTATCTCACAAAAATAAAACAGCATAACCAGAGATTTTCTTTTTTCTGCTAGAAACATGGCAGGCCAAGTGTAACCTTGTGGTAGGCCAACTTTTTTTTAATGGTGCTCCCTTCCCCCAGTTCCTTGCAAAAGCCTTTTTTATTGGCTACTGACAGTATTTTAACAAAATAATCTGTTCCTTCACTTTACACCTTCTTCAGAGAAAGTACAGACATAAAGAACAATATATTAGGAGGACATCTCTCCTAATATGAACACTTATATATTATATATATATATATAACATAACTATATAACATGTCTCAAAACACAGGTATTTCCTGACATTTCAAGAAAACGTGAGTGATCATTTCTGACAAACTTTAATAAATCATTAAATAAGTCTGTTCCTCACACTCCTCTCTTGCTGTCAGGGGTGAGTGACTCTATCTCTGTTGTCTTTCTGACCAGATGTTGAACTCTGTGCAAGACTGGATAATCCAGACAAATCACAGCCTGAGTCCCTCCTCTGCTTCTCCCCACCGGCCCTGTCACCTCTACAGCCAGGTGAGATCAATTCACTTTTTAATCACATCCTCTGGAAATAAGGTTAGCACTTTCTTCAAATGATTTTATCCAACAGAGGATGTAGAATTTGGGATACAAAAGTCAGATCATGCCCTTGTTAAAACAAGCTTAAAAGAATAAACCTGAATCCTGTTTTAAACATGATGAAAAATATGCTTATATTAATTCTGTCTTGTCAAAAGGGAGATGTCTCATGTCTAGTGTGACCCGATTGTGACGTCACCCATTGGTTTGTGGAGTTCCATTTTAAAGCCTTGAGTCTGGCGTTTTGACCGTTGCCATGACAGTTTTGACGGAGCCAGTGGAGGTTACGTACTGTGAGTTAAACTGCGCTCATTGGCTGCTCAGTTTCAACTTGTCCGTAGCAGGAAACAATGGCGGCTCGCCTGGTCACACAAGTTTAAATTTGGTGAACTTGCTGAGTTGACCTTTTGCTGACTACTTCTTGAATTATGAATGAAAAACAAATGACTTGTGTTTCTTTATTTCCAGAACTGCACAACAATTGGTACATCTGCATGTACCTTTGTTTAAAAAACCCAATTTGAGACAGTAAAACGATCAAACTACTGCTACTAACATTATCATTGTAGCTGAGGTGGTACCAAAGTGCTCCAAATGTGCTGTATATTATTGACATCAATGGAGATCTACGGCACAGAACAATAAGATAAATCAGGCTTTGGTTACATTGGCAGTACTGGTTCGGAAGTATTTTGGTGTTGACAAAAATAAAAACAGATATAAAATAATGTTCTTTATCAATGTAGCTCTTATGACAGAAGCAATGAAGAAAATAGAACCGTAGAATTCTAGAACACTACACATCATAGACTCTAGAATCACAATAGAATGAAGAATGGAGCCACGGAATTCTGTCTACAGATCAAGATGCAAAACACATTTGCATGCAGTTTTCCCTAGGAGACTAAGGATATTTCAGGAATACGTGTTTCTGTGACAGGCAGCCATCAGTTTGTAACTGGTTTGTAATTTCTTGTTTTACAAGCTAGTTCCCTGGAAATAAGGTAAGTCTATAACCCTGTACACAGTATCATTCCTCAATAATCTAGTCTATAATTTAAATTTTACCATGACTCTGCTGGTGTCTACATAAATAGTCACTGCCGTAGAGTTAATGTAACACTTCACTTCTCTAAGAGCCACAGAACAAATTTTCTGCTGTTAATGAGTGTTGATTTTTTCATTAACATTCTATTAGATGTTTAAAAATTGATCACTATTTAATAGTTGCATTAATTTGCTGGGATTTATAGTCAACACTGTCATAACGTTAACCTTTTAAAGCCCTATGGCTATAAAGGACAAAAACAAGTTTTTGAAAGTCATATTTTGTCTTGTTCACAATGAATGACTTGTTCATTTATTAAAAGAAAAGTTTTTTTAGGAACAAATGTGTATGTTTTTTGTGGGAACTGTGAAGACAAACATCTGTTTACACAACCACATTAAAAGGGGTTAAAACTTAGAACATCTACCACAGGGTTACTCAACTTGCTTTGCTCAGGAGCCACACAAAGGGGCCAGTTATTAAACAAACATGAATAATATTTATGAGATTAAAGTAATAAACATTAAGTTATTGTTAATGTCACAGAATAAGACAACTTCAAAGTCGTAATCTTCTCTTTTGTTGCGGTGCTACCGGGCAAGGTATTAACAACCTTGCACACAATAGGAAAGTTTAACGCAGTGGTTTAGGACTGGTATGAAGTGGCAAAATAAAGGCAAATTTATCAGTACATTTTGTTACTGAATTAGCTTGTTGTCATTGTCAACCTTTACACATGCTGTCCTCACTCATCTTTGTCAAAAAGCAAATCCAGTCACAGCAGCCCTGCGCAGGTCTGGTGTACAGTCACAAAAATCAAGTGTCACTGTTTCTGCACACTGTACTATAGGCTAATATGCAAGTATCAGCCAAGGGACATAATTCAGCATCTACAATTTGGTAAAAACAAACAAAAAAGATCCCAGTGTGAATCAGTTTATTTTCGTTGTGAATCAGAAAATGGTTGGAGGACTTCCAGTTGAGGTCCACTTCTCCGATATACTTTAACACTTTCTGCCTTGAATCAACTAGCGGTAAAGTTTCTTATAAAGGTTTGTTTAATAAATAACTCAGACCAGAAGAGTAGAGTCACAGTTGACTGACAACAGTTTAGACTAAAAAGGCATTGGTCCTGTTAAAGTTAGGCATCTCACCAGGGAGATGTTTTTTTCTTTTGCTCCTCTCTTTTCTCCTTTATTTTCACTCAGGCTTATACCTACCAGCTCAAACTCAATATATACTGATATTTCATTTCATTTTCCTTTAAATGAAAGTTCTGTAAAATGTATTTCTTGGAATATCTGAGTCTCGAACCGTCCTGTTGAACAAAATAAGGTTCTCTCACACCTTGCAGTCTTAAAGGTTGGAATAGCTTTTCTACAGGAGACCCATCTTTGTAATTCAGATGTACCTACGCTCGGACATAGTTGGGTTGGCGAAGTATGGAAGCATATTGCAATCACTTAAAAAAAATCTGCTCTGAATTAATGAGATACCTCCAGCTCACTCTCCTTGCCAAGAGCCGGCTCTCAGCTCCCCTGAGCCTAACCGAATCCTGTATCCAGCCTCCAGCTCCGTCTTCCCTGTTCACTCCCTGGAACTCTGCTAAAGAACCATTGGGAGAAAGGGAAGATCCGTGCCCACGCCCAGTGCCTGTTCTCGGCTATCCTCCCGTGTCTGGGGACATTGGCTGTTCCCTGTGTGGTCACAGGAGAATAGCGAGAGAACACGCACCATGGCCTCACTGTAAAGTTGTCTGCACTCTACTGCAGAACCGTAGGGAGATCAGTGAGGTACGTGCCCACGCCCAGTGAGTCATCTTGGCTGTCCTCTTGTGGCCAAACACCCCCTGGGTGCAGGTACACTGGAGGCCACCGTTTAGGGTGCGCCTGATTTGAGACGTGATTCACTTCACCCCCTTCAAGAGTATAACATGCACACAGTTCCTACCCCACACACACCAGTTCATCATAGTTTATAATAATGCATTGCAGTCAGGGTACAGTTGTTTCATAACCATAATCTGTGTGTCACTGTTGACAGAGACTCCAGTTTGCAAATCCACACACTTGTAAACTGCTGAGCCCACAGCCGGTGCCTGTTCTCGACAATCCTCCTGTGAACATCCAATGTGATTATGTTGGATAGGACAAGAAAGAATCTATCTACACATGAGAGAACAGCCGAGAACAGGCACTGGTTGTGGGCATGGATCCCAGTACACAAAAACATCCGCTTTGTTGTCAGCAGGGATGACACTGACATTAAAGGTGGGTTTGTTATTGTCAGATGGGCTCTTCAACAAGCCAATCACTTTAGTGAACCTTTACGTCCCCTAACCGGGATGATTCTGGCCATAGACACTCACTCGTTGATCCTAGGCGGGGACTTTAATTGCACTCCTGATTAAAGTCTTGACAGGTCATCATCCAAAATAATACCTGCGTCCTAACACCTCCACCACACAAACGTTATGTGGTCTATATGGTCTTTCTGATCCCTGAAGATTTTTATTTCCTTCTTCTAATGCATTTTCCTTTTTTTCCCCCAGTCCATCATTCCTTTAGCAACATCGATTACTTTCTAATAGATAATAATTTCATTCAGAATTGCTGTTATGATATTGTTAAGGTGTTGTTTTATCGGACCACGCTGGTTTCCTTTGAAATAATTATACCACACCAACCTCCATTTTTACTATTTGCTATGCTATAAGCTAGCTTTGCTATAGACCTGCTTTGTGGACATTAGATAGATGTAGATGTAATGCTAACATTATAGCATAGCTACCTTAATGTTAGATGGCAGATTACATTAATATAAAATGATAAGGACATTGAATAATATAATTTGTATGTGGCTTTTGCCATTGTGTTGTGGCTATTGCTATTTTTTTTTAAATTACATTTTTACTTAGGTTGTAATTGTCACTATTTTACTCTATGGCATATCACCATACTACTTACTTACTTACTTACCTACTACTACATACAAACATATTGTAACATTTTTAGTATTGTTTTTTTCTCCTACTTATTCATTCATATATTGCGATGCACTGTCATGCAAATAAGGGTGGGATCGGGAGGGGGGCTGGAGAATGTAAAGGGCACTGTTGATTGTAATGTCCATGCTTCTGATATTGTGATCCAGTAGTTTACCCTGCCCAAAACAATAAAAAGGTTACTTTAAAAATAAGGAATGGTTGGAGGGTCACCTAGCACCCTATTGCAGGCCAGATTTGGCAAGAGTTTGAGTTGAGTATCACCGATCTACCATTTGGGCACAAAAAGTTAATCTTCACAATCTGAACCATTAGATTTTAGTGTTAAGGGTTGTTTTTTGTTTAAGGTAAGGGTAAGTCTTTGGAGAATGAATGTAAGTCAATGTTACAAAATGTATGTGTGTGTTTGTGCACTCTCCCAAAATAGTTTAAAAAGAGTCAAGTTTCAGAATTAAAATGTAAATATTTGAGGTAGGATGGACAACATTGTGATATTGTATAATAACTTATTTTCTTTGTCTGATTTATTTAGTCAAAATGGACGGAAGGGGAGACGGAGAGCACAATGGTAGAAATCGTAAGTACTTTGTTCATCATTTTATACAGACCTCTTTGCTGTGCAGTCTTTCCAAAAGCTATTTAAGGGAGACTGGTTTATACTTCAATTCTATGGTTACATAATTCTCTAATTGATCTTGCAGGCCCAAATATTCTTTTTTATCCAAGAGTCGATCGGCCACCAGCTGAGCAACTTAACGCTGGGCTCATTGCCTGGATGGAATTTCTCATGAATCATGGAATCAACGGGTTTGCTGTCGCTCTGGGCCACGTCCAGGAAGATGAGGACCAACCAAACGCTGACAACCATGACAATCATGACAACAATGACAACAATGACAACAATGACAACCACGCTCTGGAACTGGTCGTGGAACCTGACGACCTACCTAACGCTGACAACAACAACAACCTCTACGACAATGACAATCCCGACAACAATAACGACAATGACAACC